TAAGAACACAAGATTGACGTTAATCATGCTTTCAGGGTCATTTACCGCATACCTACGAATCTCAATTTTGCCTTAAGAGTTCGACTACTAAATATTGCTGAAGCTGTTGGGATCCATATTAACAAGCCTAATTTGTGCATCCAAAAGAAGTTAGTTCAGACATTATCATTACCTTGGCCATCTAGGTTTGAATGATCCTGAATTTTGTGGAATTTTCCTAATTTTAGTTGATATTCTATTTGCTACTATATCTATATTACTATTATTATAATTTAAGCATTTTTAATGAACTGTAATTACATTGGTCTTACTTAACAAATCGATATTATTTAATTGACACTGATATTGTTACTGACTACTAATCTAGAATATTCAATATATATAAACATTATATATATATAATTGTAGAGCCGGAAGAGGAATTTATCGAAAAGAATATTCTTTGCTCAATTTTTTTATTAAGTTACTGTGTTATTTGTTGGTCAGACTTAACAAGATTGAGTTGTCATGATAGTTGTTTACTGTGTGATGTGTATCAGATGCCACCTGGTCAATAGCTTGGCACTTTATGGTTCACGAATGCCAGACTAAGTCGCTGAACAATGTATATGATAGTAGTTATTATTACAATTATTTTCCTAGGTCCCAAGCAGAACATAAGGCTTCAACAGGACATTCCCTAGTTGTCCTCATCTCTGCAGTCACCTTTACCTGCCCTCACGATTGCTCACAATGATTTATTTCCTCCATATTACCCTCAGACGCTCAATTCGTCGTTCCCCATTCAGGTTCCACTGGAGGACCTGGCGTTTGATGTCACCCTATGGTCTCCTCAACGTATGACAGTAATGCCTAAGCTAATCTCACAGAGACTTTTATTCATTTACATCTAGGTTTTTAACTAAGATAGACATAGGAAGAGTATAGATGAGTAGTAAAAGTAATTATGAAAACTAGATAACATTTACTTGTGGCTACATTTACTAGAACACCACTGATCTTTCTTATGCAAAGAGAGAGCGCCAGCACATTATTCCACTGCTGGCTGAGGCTATTCTGTTCTTTTTTTTGCAAATAGCGCTTACTTATTCACTGAACAAAGCAACTTAGATAAGAAAAATGATTTAATTCAAGTTTGAACATAGACTGATAACAGTTAGAGATGGATGATGGATGTTTCGTCCTATTTCGGGACTCTTCATTACCATTCACGCACAGGGATTCAAATTCGGGGCTAGATCGTAGACCATTCAGCCACTGGGTCCTGATTCAGTGGCCCACGAATTCTAACTTCGACTAATTCTTGAATTTTTTTATCGCGACCACCAGCCAAACTAGGACAAAACAGCTGTCCATGATCGAAATTGAAACAAATCAAAAACCCTACAAAGTAATACTTCAAAAATGACTCACCATTCAACTTATTATTGTTGAATTCGACACTATTTAAATTAAATATAAGCACAGATTTCACATCATTTAGAGAATTATTAAAAATCGAGGAGCACTGGGCAGTTGGTTCGTCGTAATTTGGAACTTTTCAGTTATGTACATCCATAACACCACTACTGAGGAAACTCAGGGCTTTCATATTACAAGTCCAGTCCGTTGGCAGTTCAGCTACTGAGTCTAATTTCAGTTCTAAATACCACATTTTGCAAAGCGTTGAGTTGAAATAGGGACGCTAAGCTGGTAATCATGAGTATCGCTTGTCTGTGCGAACAACGTATACAACGATCAACCGATCTCTCAGTCTATAAATTAAGCTACAGCACACCAAACACTAGAGGAAAAGTAAGTATATATACATATATATAACGTTTAATTCAGAACATCACCTGGAATATGTCAGTTCGTCTGTAATCATGATTAATAAAATAGTGGGCGAATTTTATGCAGGTCAATTCTGTTTGGCTTATTTCCAGACTGGACATCGATTACCATATCACCTTTGTCTCTCAAAAAAGTGTACAAAATGATTCAGTATCTTCTTTTCCCTGGATCGATTTGGAAACCTACTGTCTGTGTCCTTTTGCCATCGGAGCGACAGCCGCATAAAATCTCCCTTACGACTTTGGAATCCTTTTTGGTTGGTTCTGAATTGACTGGTGGTAGTTATAGATCCAATGGTAGCTTGTGTTCTGAGGATGTGGTATATTGACGTCGTGTCTGGTTTTTATGTCTCATCCACAATTCATGACCAAATTCAACGTCGTACATAAGTTCCATGGTGCTATTCTATCAGACCATCTGCCAGAGTGGACACCGATCACCCTATCACTAATTTCTATCAATTTTCAAAGTAATAGGTTAGTATTGCTGAAGGGTTCAAAATAGCTAGCCAGTGCTTCAAAGTGGTTTTCAACGACTCTCCATATAATTTTGGTTGACTCTTTAAGAAATCTACGCTGAAATTAACCCAAATTCTTCTAACAAAACTCAAAAGCTGAATATGTCAAAGGATTTATGTCCGCTTGTATCCTACAAAAATCTTGTTATTATTCCCCTGGGTTCCGAGTAGAATATAGGGCTTCAAAAGCACATCTGAATTTTCTTCTATTCTCTGCTGTCCCCTTCAGCTGAGTCCACGATTGACAATAGTCTCTCATGTCCTCCTCCAACTCACACTATCTCCTCCATGTCAATCTTGAAGTGGCGACCCACTCGTCGCTTCCCATTGAGACTTCACTCGAGTGATGGCGTGCATTGCGTGCGGTCTCGTTCGACGACCTCTTCAATGAATGCCCGATACACCTCCATCTTCTCCTGCATATTTGTTGAGCATTCGGATCTTGGCTGGTTTGTTCCCAGCCAGAGTTTCTTGTTGCTAATTATTTGTGGCCGCCTGGTCATTTGATTTTCAATATGGAGCCAGCGAAGACAGGCAGCTATTGATAAAAGTCTGTAACATGCTGTTGGAAATCCTTTTCGTGACACGTGACTCGTATAGAAGAACTGACTGACTTCACACTGGTGTTGAAAATCCGAATCTTGTTCCTCATGCAGGCTGAGTGGGGCAGAATATTTCTAAACTGGCTTCAGGGTGATGAAGGCGTATCTCGCCTTTCCCATCCTGACTGGGTTTGACAACTTCATCCATTTTGTCCGAATGCGTGTGGTTGAAACCATGCTTTCTGGCCAGATAAGTGAAGGAAGTAACCTCTGTCAAATCTATCCCGTTGATGGTGATTGGTGCTGGTTGTTGTTTTTGTTGTTGTTGCTGTTGGTTGGTTGTCTTCATCACCTCCGTCTTCTCTATGTTCACCAGGAGTCCTGTCCTCTCTGCTGGCCTCTTCTACCAGCTTGTTGGTTTTCGCCTGCAAGCCTTCGAGTTTGTGTGACATTAAACATAAACCATCCACACGCGAATCCAGATCTTCTGGAGTTCCTGTCTTTTCACTCCCTGTGTACAGTCTAACGTATAATCCAGTCCACCACAATTAAAAATATCATCGGTGAAAATAGACAGCCAGCTTGTCATACTTCTGTCGATGAAATTGAGGTAGAGAGAGGTTTGGGTGCCGTTCTATGCTCTGTTCTGTGATGACTATGCGAAGAATCACGATTTGATCAGAATATGGTAGCATGGTAGCTTGAAAAGGTAACCTTTCTTCCGATCGATAGGCACCTTGTTTTACAGTATCAAATTTTATTTGTAATTTCCCCTTTCCCCTTTTTATTAAATTAACTAGATACTGCTCAAATATAACCTTGAAGAACAATATCAAATTGAAGCATATTGCTAGTTGATATTTAAAGAAAGACAGCAGAATAAAGGTCCAAGTTTCCCGTTGAAATATGACAGACAGACAAATAAACTTTTCAAAATGCCAGTTAAATAAATCATCAAGAATAATGGTAAGATACATAATTTGCTAATAAACACTTTCATTTTACCAAAACAATTTGAATTTTTCTCTTTTTCTTTTTCCTATAGACATTTAGTCTACTTGGAATAGGAGTTGCTGTCGCATTAAGTATCGCCATTATTATACACTTCATGTAAGGCAAAGGCTTCGATTAATATATGTATAATCTACTTCTTTTTCCTTCAAAAATAAAATTCAATTTCAGATCAGCAGTAGGAAGTTTTCTAAAAGATAACTGGTGGATCAGTATTATATTCAGGTAGAAATGATCTCTCTATTTTGTATTATTTTTCTTTTCATTCCCTTTCTGATATCTTTTTTTTATATGTGATAATATCGCATTTTGCTTTATCTTGGAGAGAAATGTTCGGCGTCTGTGTTGACATGTGTTGGCTCCTTGTAGGAGCGCCTCGAGGATGTCTGAAGATTAGCTTGAAGTAATGTTCATGGATGGTGGAATAGCAATGGAATCTAGGATGTATATTTAGTCCTATATGGGACCCGTCATCCCCATCTACTGAGGCTTGAACCCGGTTCCCATAGTTTCAAACTCCAAGACATTATCCACTAGGTTGCTTGAGAGAGTGTTAAACTATTGTAGGTATTCTCAGAAATGTTCTCATACGAGTACACTGTCGAATCAATATAAACCTGTCATCTGATTTAAGCTGGAATAGTTGGAAAACGGAACGTTGTTAACTTTCACACTCTTTGGTACAATCACAAGACTCAGGGTAGTATATATCACCAAATATGAGAGTGATACAGTACCCAATTACCTCATCGAAATATGTAATGGAAGAATGTCATTTGTTATTATTAATATCTCACTACTTATGCAGGTTGTACAAAATTAAAAAAGCAGTTTTTATTTCTTATTGCCTTATTAAGTGTTATAGGTTTCATTTGTTCTATTCTGATGGTCACTATTCCACATCGAGTGAAGAATCCACCAGTCAACTTCATCATATTATTTGTAATGGTAAGATTTCCTTGTGCATCTAACTTTGAAATGATGGTATAAATAACACGAATCATACTTAATTACGATGTACTTTATTCTCAGAAACACCGTTAATAAAATTTACTTTATTTCGGTAAGTTTTAATAAAGAAAGACAAAATCTGAATTTGATCTGACAAGAAGTAGTTCTCTTGAATATTGACTACGAGATCATATCGACATTTGGTCTGATGAAAAGTGCCAATCGTTTATAAGATAATATTTTGAAGTTGAAAACAATAACAGCTTTATTCTGAACAGTGTTTATATAATGTACAGAATTTTCAGCGGAGTTTATTACCTGATATCTTCTCTTCGCCTAGGATCTTTAAATAAAAGGTTAGTTACAGGATTTCATCATGAATTGACATCGGTTAGAGAACCATTGGAAAACCAGGTGAGAGTACTGGACAGCTGTTCCGTTAGCCCGATTTGAGACTCGGTTCGAACCCAGGACCTCGTAGACCATTAAGCCATTGGGACCCGATTCCATAGTCAGCCCATGAATTCCAACTTATTCCAATTCACGATATGACGCGACCACTTCGCAATGTTTTCTTCAATGAGCTACTGCTTCACTTTCAACCTGATATACCCTACTGGTCACAGCTTCCCACTAGAACCCCAGGTTAACTGCCTGAATAGGGCCAGTTGCTAGTGAGCATCAGATTAATTTTCAAGCATTGGTTTTGTAGGGATTTGATTGGTTACAAGTTTGAATACACGCTGACATCAATTAGAGAAGCATTAGGAAACCATTATTTAACAGTTGAAATGAAAGATAGACACTGTATATCTCAAGGCATTACTTTACAAAAACAAAAGTAAATAAAATCAAGCCATTGAAGCACATTTGAATTTAAACAATGTTACAGATAAAAAATATACTCAGAGGATATTCTAATATAACAAACTGAAAAATTTGGATTGGGCACTGGTAACTAGTGTTACGTGTGTAGTCCCTTCTTTGGTGCAGACTGAATTCTATCAGTCAGGTTTTGCAATATGCCCACCATTCTAGGTACCTCGCCATCACGGTGCACATTGATTTGATGATATTAGATAGTTGGAGGCAATCGACCACAAGAGCCTTGGACCTAGGTTTCGTGCTAGTTGGCATTCATCATCAAGGTGTATCTGCACCAAAGAAGGGTCTAGACACGTCACACTAGTTACTAGTGTTCAATCCAAATACCCACTACAGTCCTACAGGAGGTCAATCGCGAGCACGAATAGCTCAGTGGTAACGTCTCTGACTGCAGCCGGCACTGGGTGACTCGGGTTCGAATCTCAGAAGGGACATGAGTTCCTTCAAGTTGGTTGCAGATACGCCTTGCTGATGAGTGCCAACTAGCACGAAACCTAGGTCCGAAGCTTCCTACCGATGGCCTCCAACTATCTAAACTGAAAAATTGACGACTATGTTAATGTATTGGTAGTACACCTTACATGGAGTTTGGGTACAACCGAGGCTAGAATCAACAGACCGAACCGAATTAATTCAATATTAACTAAATATACTCTTAGATCGCCTTCAAATGGGGAGAGAGAAGACAAGAATATATTCGACAGATAAGAAGACTCTAGAAGATCTGGACTTTGCAGATGATTTATGTCTAATGTCACATTAACTCGAAGACTTACTGGCGAAAAACAACAAGTTCGAAGAACAGATAGGCAACGAAGAAAGCAGAGAAGGCAGTGGTGATGAAGATACCCAACTACCAAGAATAACAAGAAGCACAAAGCCCCCTCAATGAAAGAAACCTTAAACAAGTCATATCTTTTACTTTTCTAGGCAACTTCGTTTCAAATACAGGCGAACAGCACAGATGAGGATGTCAAAACCAGGATCGAAAAGGCGAGGCAGAACTTCATCACTCTGACATCATTTTGCGATTCTTCTGTAATCAGCATAAAGGACAAAATTACGATTTTCAGCACTAATTCTAAACCAGACAGTTATTCTATATGAGTCAGAAACTTAGCCTACGCGTCATGATGGAGAATTTCATCATGAGCTGACATCAGTGAGAGAACCACTAGAAAAACTAGGAGTATTGGACAGCTGTTTCGTTCCACCCACCACCACTACGGTTCGAACCCAGGACTTTATGGTTACAAGGCGAGCTTGTTGACCACAGAGCCACTGGGACCTGTACTGATGAAGAGTTCCAAACTAAACTGACGAAACAGTTGGCTGTCCAGTACTCCCAGGTTTTCCAGTGGTTCTCTCACTGATGTCAGCTCATGATGAAATTCTCCATCCAATCAAACGAAATCCCTACAAAAACCAATACTTGAAAATTTTTCTGACTCTCAGATGAAAAACAAAATCAATCGATTAACTTCTCTTCTTCTTCTTCTTCTTCAAATTTTTAGATAATCTCATTGTCTTATTCAATTGCTTTGGATTTTGTGGATATATCATTCAAGTGGATTATTCTACGATGGACTTTATCAGTTACGGTGTGTCTGTGTTTCATCTTCGTTGGAGTTATAATTAAACGAGACTTGACAGTTTTTATCTTTCCACTACTAATTTATTTGTTAAGCGCAATTCTTTTAGCATCGATAACAATTTCGGTGCTGTATATTCTTACAAACAAATATGTGAGTTTCTTTAATTATTATTATTATTGTTTCCTTTAATTCCTAGAGGAACATAGGGCTTCAGCCGTGCGTCTCCATTGCGTTCGGTTCTCTGCTAAAGTTTTCACCTGGCTCCAACTCTGCCCACATGCTTTCATCTCCTCTTCACATGACCTCCTTCAAGTCACCCTCGCACTAACGACCAACTCGGCGCTTCCCTTTCGGGTTCCACTCGAGCAATGGCTTGTCTAGTGATGTCACTTGATGGTTTGTTTTCTTAGAGTATGGCCAATCCATCTCCATTTCTTCCTACCTATTTGTTTCACAATCGGTTCCTGCTTGGTTGGTTCGTTCCCAGATATCCATCTCTGTTGCTGATCTTTTCTGACCATCTGATCTTGAGTATTGAGCGAATACAACTGTTAATGAAGGTGTGTAGTTTGTTTGAGATGCTCTTTATGACGCTCAGTGCAAGTCTCTGATCCGTATAGTAGCACTGACTGACTTCACATTGGAGTTGAAAATCCGGATCTTATCTTCGTTTTGATTCTGAGTGCTGTTGACCTCCACACAGACTTGAGAGTAGTGAAAGCTTGTCTTGCTTTTCCGATTCTTGCTTTGATATCCTCGTCAGTTCCGCCTGTAGTTGAAACGATGCTTCATAGGTAGGTAAAAGAGGTTGTTTCTTTCAGGTTCCTCCCAATTTATGCTGATTGTTGTCTTTAAGCATTAGCATTAATTGACTACGTTGGACTAATTAATAAAACATATACGTATTACTAATTACTTGTTATTATTTCCCCAGATTCCGAGTGGAATATAAACCTATAACAGCATATCTTCACTTTGTCTTCTTCTCTGGAGCTCTCTTTAGCTCGTCCTAGGACTGACCATTGTCTCTCATCTCCTCATCGCATGATCTCCTCCATATCACCCTCGGACACACGCCCAACTTGTCGCTTCCCATTCGAGATCCATTTGACCTATAACCTGGCGAGCGGTGTCATTCAGCGGTCTCCTCGCTGCGTATCGGATCCACATCCATCTTCTTCAGAACATATCTTGGTTGGGCAGTAGGTCCTCGATTAGTTCGTTGCCTCACAGATTTTTTTGTTGCTAATTATTTCTGGTCGACCATCTGATCATCAGCGTTGAGCTAGCGAAGATGGCAGCTATTGACAAAAGTCTTTAATAGCCTGTCAAAAATGATTTCTGTGACGCGTGCATCAAGTATCTGACCTATACACGGAGGAATTGACTAACTTAGCATTCGTGCTAAAAATCTGAGTTTTATTGTTTATGGTGAGTGCAGCAGATTTCCAAACGGATCTCAGAGTGATGAAGGTCTGATGAATTCTATCATGGAGATAAGAATAAAAACAGTTCAGTGAAGAGTCTATTTTCGGTGAATTCATTCACTGAGCTGTATAATCGCAATTTTATACATATATATATATACATATATTTGTAACTGTTAGAGAACCATTGAAAACTAGCACTGGAGTACTGGACAGCTGATTCATCCTAGTTTGGGAATCATCGGAAGTACTCACCCACTGGGGTTCGAACCCAGGATCTTCCGGTTACGAGACAGGCTCGTATACCATTCAACCGCTGGGAACCGATTCAGTGACCAGCTCATGAATTCTAACTTCTACCATTTCGTGATTTAGCGCGACCCCAACCATTGTCGTAGGTGGGGCATCCATCTTCACACGTCACAATATCAATCCGTGATCAACTCGTAAGAACAAAACTAACCCTTACAAACCAAACTGTAGAAAACATATATAACTATTTTTTGTACATGTGTATACATTAGGATTGTTAAACAATAATAAAGATTAGTTTAAGTTATTGTTTGCGTCATCAGAATATTTCAGAAATGTGATGAGTAATCGAAATTGTAACTGGAGTGGGAGTAAAGATTAATAATTTTGGACTAGGTTTGCCTTAATCTGGAAAAGTTCAGAAATAGGCAAGAGTAAACAATAGACACCAAAGTCAAATGACCTTGAAACGACCAATCAGATCGTTCATCATTCATAATGGATGCAGTTCATGAACTTCATTGCAAGTTTCACCCAGATTTAGTTTTTGACTTCTGTGTGGAAAATGGGTTGATAGGGAGGTCGAAAACTTGTATATGTGGAGGGATAATGACGCTAAAAAAGTATTGTCGGGCTATTGACGGCTACGCGTTTAGATGCAACCACTGTTACATGAGGAAATCTGTGCGAGTTGATAAGTTGTACAATATGATGATTTTATAGATGCTTTCTTCTCCTAATCGAAACTGTCCCTTAGTAAAAGATTGCGTATATGCAATAATTGGCTACTAAAGTGACCAGTATCTGTTACAGCTGCAGAAACGGATAATACAAAGATTTCAACAGTGCAGTAGTATCAGTACTGCCATGATATTGCGTCACAAAAGCTAAATGGGATCACCTCTGTACTTAGGGGAGTTGGTGTCGTCTTGCATATTGACGAAACTGTACTTATTCAGCGAAAAATGAATTGAGGCAAGAGTAGAGCAAATCATGTTTGGGTGCTGGGACATAACGACACATATTTTCGTAAAGGGTTTGTAGAACCCATCCCGAACAGAATAGCTGATGTGTTAATACCAATTATACAACGACTAGTCCTTCCAGGAACTTCTATTCACATAGACGAATGGAGGCTATATTCACCACATAGTCAACCATTCTTCTGAACTCGTGAATCCTGTAACAGGAACACATACAAATTCCACTGAAGGATTTTGGGCTTACCTCAAAAAACGTATCAGAATGGTTAACATTTCCCGAAGCGATATGGTATATAGCCATTTAGAGATGAGTCTTTGTATCGACATTGGTTTAATATGTCTATAACCACTCCTATGAGAAACTGGGACCAGTTTTTGCAGCATATTAGAGACATTTATCCTGTATAATTCATTTTTATTACATATATATGTTATAAATACAGTTTTTTATGCCACTTTTTAACTGAAAGAATCTGATTGGTTGCTTCAAGGTCGTCTGTAGTTGGTGTCTATTCTTTAGATATTAATGAAGGAACAAGGAGATTAGTATTAAAATAAATTAAGTAGTACGTGAAAAGACTGAACGGAAGGCTGGCTAAGAGGACGATGACAAAAAATGTCATACGCATAAAATTCACAAAATAATATTGATAACAAAACAATGATAACAGATAGACTTGGAATTATGTGCTAGGTAGAAGGAAGTGATGGAGAGGTTTCTTCTGTTTATATAAGTCAGCGTTTTTCCATCTGAATCCCTAAGACCTCGGTAATACAAAGTATTCAGATGCTTACAGTTTTCGAGAGGCTTCTTTTGACTTCATAGAAAACTTCGTATGAAATTTCCTTGTAAGAAGTAGTTTATCTGAAACGTGTAATGTTTTGGCGCAACACATTTCGGACATTCTGATCACACACGTACTTGTCATGCACAGTTTTTATAGAATGCAAGAAGGCATGGATAATTACAATGCAGGTCTGATTGTACACAGGTCAAGGTCACAAGTAATGGGTGGGGAGATGATGCAAAGGTGTGGGTAAGAAAGATAAAAGGATAAAAGCAAGGCAAAGAAGGGGTTGAAAATATTATGAAGTAAATTGGTCGTCGGTTCTAAAATGGATTACCAAGGCAGGTTTAAGGTGATAAAAAATAACTTTTGGACACTTAAGACAGGTTTAAGTCTTTTTTATGGCTGAGGCTTCAATGAATTTAAGTATATGGCCCAACCTTGTTTTATATATCGGCTTAAACGCATTGTCGAAATCAACCTTATGACCCGTCTCTATAATATGCTTCGCTATAGATGATGTATTGTAATTACGCCTCCTTGCATTCTGTAAAAACTGTGTATGACAAGTACGTGTGTGATCAGAATGTCCGAAATGTGTTGCGCCAAAACATTACACGTTACAGATAAACTATGTCTTCTTATTGTGTTGTCAAAAATCTCCTTGTGTATTGAGTGGCTAGTGTTGAATATATGTTCAATTATAGTACTTTTTATTGATCCACTGGTACCTTTACGTAGCCTAGTGGGATAATATTCATTGACTTTTTTAGATAAAACGCGCATTGAACAACCTTTATGTCTCACTCCACATGAGAAAGTAAACTGATAGATACACATAGAAGTGGTCAAATACGATAGTTTATCTTTAGAGGAGTTGTTGAAGAACATTGTCTGGTCAGAGAATACCAGTCGTAATGTAGCAGCAAAGAACATTCTTTTCAAGGCATTTGATATTCTCTCAGTTAGGGTTTTAGCCAGATGGCTGCCTTTGAACGCGACATTCGTGAATAGCATCTTCTTCGGTAATAGGGATGGGTTGTTCTTTGTTGGTTTTGGGCTTTATATGTATTTATCTACAAATCTTGAACGACGTAAACAATCATCCAGACTAATTTTTACTCTTGTTTGATAAACCTAATGTACAAATACAAAAAATTATGTATAACTTGGATTGTTTTTGATTTGACACTAGTAACTAGTGTAATGCGTCTAGTCCTCTCTTTGGTGCAGACTGAATTCTATCAGTCAAGTTTGTAATGTGGCCACCATTCTGGGTAGCTCACCATCACGGTGCGCATTGATTTGATGATATTAGATGGTTGGAGGCAATCGGCAGGTTTCGTGCTAGTTGGCACTCACCAGTGAGCAGGGCGTATCCGCAACCTTGAAGGAACTCATGTCCCTTATGAGATTCAAACCCGCGTCACCCAGTGCTGGGTTCCTTCAAGGTTGCAGATACGCCTTGTTGACGAGTGCCAACTAGCACGAAACCTAAGTTTAAGGCTTTCTCTGGCCGATTGCCTCCAACCATCTAATAACTTGGATTGTACAGTTTAACGAATGAATTCGCCGGAAAGAAACTTTTCATTGAACTGTTCGTTCTTATTTCTATATCTGGATGCTCATGTTCACCAAGCTAGATGGCTCACCATCATGGTGCTGATGAGTACCAACAACCACAAAACCTATATCCAAGGCTTCCTACCGACTTCCTTCAACCATCTAATATCAACACTCTCAAGATTGTATAAAAGTGTATGGTGAAAACTCTGGCATTTCACAACTAGGTTTTTATTGAAACCTGAAAACGTAAATACTGATATTTTGCAAAATAAATTACATTGCTTTTAAAAACTCTACAACCAAAGTGTACATTTGTCATTTTTTTTTTACAGATTTTGTACGTAAGCTTCTGTATATTTGAATTCGTGACCGTGATTCCGGTAAGTTGTCAACATTAATTAACTTTATCCCTATGAATTGTAATACCTTAATATGTTCCAGTAATAATACTATTTAAAACAAATAGTCCCTTTTATAAATTTTGATAGCGTTATTTGAAGACAGAGATTATCTGAAAAATGTGATGTATTTGCGCTATACATTTCGAACAATCTGATCACACATTTACTTGTCAAGTCAATATATATGGAAAAGTTAAATTAAACAAGGTGACAAAAAAAGAATTAAGAATAATTAACACAAACGTTTGGTAATCCAATCAAATAAGGATTACCAAGGTAGGTTAACAGTAATAACAAACTGTTTTTGAATACACAAGGGGGGCTTAAGTTTATGAATGGCTATAGCCTCAGCGTATTTCAGTAAACGTCCTTGACCGTTTTTATAGATGACCTTAAAGGCTGAGTTAACATCAACCATAAGGTTGATGTTAACTAGATGTTTAGCTATAGACGAAGTTGGTAGTCTGACACCTGCCTCTATTGGTTTCTCACAATTCATTTGTTTATTCTAACCATTTTGGGATATGCTCTCCCATTCACCTGGACAGGGCAATACCTTAATTTTCACAGCTTCTGTTCATTACAGTATAAGAGAGGCTTGGTGAAGTGTCTGTTTAAGAGGATTCAGCGTATTTGCCCGGCTGATGTTACAGACAAAGAAAACGAAATATTGATGGATACTTTTGTTGAAAACGGGTATCCTTTGAAATTTTCAAACAGGTGTAGAAGTCAACCAGCCTCTAAACCTACAATCCATACCGTCCCTAAGAAAAAGGTTTTCATCAAATTACCATAAAACGGGGAAATAAACAGTAAGATTTTGAGTCAAAGGTTGAATTCGATCATCCGTAGAACCTACAATGCAGCCAAGTTTGTAATTGTGGTAAAAGTCAAAAATATTCTCCACTACAAACCTCAAAAGTGCACAAGTGATTGTATCACATCCCACACAATTTACCAATTTTCGTGTGTGTGGACATACATAGGGAGGGGTAATCGCGCTTTACACGTGAGGGTGGGAGAGCATATCCCAAAATGGTTAGAATAAACAAATGAATTGTGAGAAACCAATAGAGGCAGGTGTCAGACTACCAACTTCGTCTATAGCTAAACATCTAATCGACATGAACCTTATGGTTGATGTTAACTCAGCCTTTAAGGTCATCTATAAAAACGGTCAAGGACGTTTACTGAAATACGCTGAGGCTATAGCCATTCATAAACTTAAGCCCCCCTTGTGTATTCAAAAACAGTTTGTTATTACTGTTAACCTACCTTGGTAATCCTTATTTGATTGGATTACCAAACGTTTGTGTTAATTATTCTTAATTCTTTTTTTGTCACCTTGTTTAATTTAACTTTTCCATATATATTGACTTGACAAGTAAATGTGTGATCAGATTGTTCGAAATGTATAGCGCAAATACATCACATTTTTCAGATAATCTCTGTCTTCAAATAACGCTATCAAAATAATTACCGACCGATACAATCGCCCTACTGAACAGCACTGTACACGTATCAGTGTTTTCTGACTTCAAGAGTACATGGCTATTTAGTACAAAGTTCAATATATTATACTGTTTCTTGGACAACATCGATTATCATTACTTGAGCAGAGGTCATCACCATCAACAGGACAGATTTAACAGGGGGCACTTCCTTCACTTATCTGGTTAGGCAGCACTGTTTCAACCACAGGCAGTCGAACAACATGGATGAAGATGTCAAAGCCAGCCAGCCAGTCAGAATCGCAAAGGCAAGATAAGCCTTCATCAACCTGAAACCAGTTTGGAAATCTTCTGCTTCACTTAGCCAACGTGAAGAACAAGATTCATATTTTCAACACCAATGTGAAGTCAGTCAGTCAGACAGTCGGTTTTTATATAAGGGCCAGAAACTTACAGTCGGTGTGTCACAAAAAGGATTTCCAATAGCCTGTTACAGACTTTTATCAACAGCTGCCTGCCTTCGCTGGCTGGCTCCATACTGAAGATCAAATGACCAGGCAGCCGGTCAGAAAGAATTAGCAACAAGAAAATCTAAAGTGCAACAGACGAACCAAGAACCGATCACTCAACAAATATGTAGGAGAAAATGGAGATGGTTCGGGCATACGTTGAGGAGACTGTCGAACGAAATTGCTCGTTATACAGGCCATTGCTCGACTGGAATCCCAATGAGAAGCGACGAGTGGGTCTTCTATGTGAGGGTAACAGAGTGGAAATCGTGTGGTGAGGAGAAGATGAGAGATTATGGGCAGTCGTGGGCCCAACCAGCAGTAGAAGACAACAGAGAATAGAACCAAGTTGAGATGTGTTGTTGAAGCCCTATTTTCCACTAGGGATCCAAGGAAATGATACATAAATAAATAAATAGCTATCCCGAAAAATTTACCAAGAAACACAAAGAAAGCGGAAAAGGACTACTCACTATCTGTAAACAAGAAGCCACTTTATATACGACTACAATTCAAGGGCGATATACCAAGCGAGATAATTACGAGGAAATTAAGAAAATCAGTTCAAAGAACTTTTAATGCTGGTGAACTACACGTATTATTCTCTACACGACCGATGGTGATTCCTAGACTGAAAGATGAAGTACCTAGACTAGCCACTTCTAATGTATCATCTACCAATTCAACTGCCCTTATGGGGACTATTATGTTAGCCGCTGCTTTAGGAACTTGATTTTTCGTGCTCGAGAACATCTCCCACTATGGCTAAGTAAAGTTGTAGTGAAAACCATTAACAGTTTGATATTGGACCATCTGGTGCAAACACACCACAAAGCCAGTGTGGGAGAATCCTTCTCTATCATCTACCGAGTGCCTAATAAATTGCCAAAATCATCGAAGCACCGCATGCTTCAAACAGCAGACCCTATTGCGATTCGCCTCAAACAACCAGTGCTGTGTGTTCAAAAGAAACAAATTCAGCAAGCCACTACTACTGCCCTGGCCGGCCTTCAGTAAAGATTATAAATTCATAAATTTGTAATATTATCTTTCCTAATTTTTCTGACATTCAGCTTATTTTTATGTTGATGCTATTGAACTGTAATCCAATGTTATTTAAACAACATTAATGTTGTTCATAATACTAATTCATTCATTCACTATAATGTATATATTACTTACTGTAGAGCCTGATGATGAAGTTACCGAAAAGAGTACTCTTTGTTTAATACCCATTCTTTTGAAAAAACTAAGCATAAATCATAGTAAAAACTGTACCAAGTCATTTAAAATTTTAAAGGCAGCTGACATTAATTGCAAAGTGAATCCTTTTACCAAAAGTCATCTATCTGAATTAGGTGACCATGAAATACTTGTTATGTTAGAAAAATTGTCTTAATGATTTAATTCTTTCTTCCTTAAATAACTGTTCGAGACAGTGCCATGTTATAAAATGGAGCAGAAATAATAACTGTTTGGGGAATTTCTCTGTAATTCTTCAAAAACAGAGAATTCAGTCAGCACCTAGTGTCACCTGCTCTACTAATTGATTAGCCTGTACTAAGCGCAGAAAAAGGGGGGAAGATTGGACGTGAGGAATGGAATGGAGATGGATTTGACACACACTGAAGAAATTGTTGAGTGGAATCACACCCAAGGCTCTCAAGAGGAACCCGTTTGAAAAAACGATAAGCTAGGCTATGATCCAAGAGTGACATCGAGGAGATCAAGTAAGTAATACACGAGACATAATAGGCAAACATGCAACCAGCTAAAGTTGACTGCAGAGAACAAGATGGAGTGCAGATGTGTTGCTGGAACACTTAACTAAACCTTTACTTATTTTAAGTGGGATGATTCAAGGTTCACCTTTTAGAATAGGGTTTCCTTCAGGTGTTAGCACCTGACTCATCATCAATTAGTTGTTAATGCTGATTGGATGCGAGGGTACCTTGTAAAACTACCAAGGAGAGGCGACATAGATCTTTATAAAGACTGGCACCAATCATGCTCCCGTCCACACCAAGCAAAATATCCAATCACATCACCCTAGAAATACTAAAATATGTTTCGATGTAAAACAACTTTGCTCCCCGGATCAAGATATATTCAGGGAAAGTAAATAACATGCGATTAAAACTGCAGCGACACATATCATAATCGAACACAACATAGAATGCCAGTCGAATCTCTACCTCAACTTCATCCAATTTGAAGACGCCTTCAGCACAATCGACCGTGAAGTAATTTGGAAACTGATTCACTGCATGAACACTGCATGAACATTTATCAACCTCATTCAACAGATGCATGATAATGCTACATGTCAAGTGATCCACAACGGGAAACTCATCACAGAAGCCTTTGAAGTGAGTATTAGAGTAAGACACGGATGTTGCCTTCTAACACTCATGATATTCCTGATTTTGATGGATGAGGATGTGAAAACTAGGATCTTAAAGGCAAGGCAGACCTTCATCACCTTGAAATCAGTTCGGGAATCTGTTGCAGTCAACATTAACAACAGACTTAGGATTTTCAACACCAATTTAAGGTCAGTCAGTTCCTCTATGAGATTCAGAAAGTTGGCGTGTCCAACAGCCTACTTCATACTATTATTAACAGCCGCCTTCTCTTTCTACTGAAGATCAGGTAGTCGGTCAGAAAGAATTAGCAACAAGAAACTGTAAGAACAAATCCATCAAGAACCTTTTTACCCAACCAAGAAATATTCTGAAGAAGACAGATATGGGTCGAACACACGCTGAGGAGACCGTTGAATGACATTACACGTCAGATTATCGCCCGAGTGGAACCCAGATGGGAAACGCAGAGTTGGGCATCGATCCGAGAGTGATACGGAAAACATCGTGTGAGGAGGAGATGAGAGATAATGGACAATCATGGAACCGGCTAAAGTAAACTACAGAGAAGAGGAAGGAAATGGAGACGTGCTGTTGAAGTTCTATGGTCCATTCGGAACCCAAGGGAGTAATAATAATTAGGCACCCACGTCAGCAGGATGTAAAAGTTAATGCATTGAAAACCACTTAAATAATTTTTGCTAATTTTTAGAACCTTTAGCTTTCTTTTTTTCGTTTTACCAAATCTATTAAATTCTCATTATTTTTTCAGGTAATTATTCCTGCTACTGCACAATTCAACTGATTATAATTCCTTTAGATGTTTTCTCTACATTTGTGTGCTAATTGGGTTGTGGCAACTTGAACTGATGTGTTTGTATATAAAGTTCGACAATGAAAAATTAGTCAAGTATTGGTTTTGTAAGGATTTTATCATGAGCTGACATCAGTTAGAGAACCACTGGATCACCTGCAGACATCTGTTTCGTCAGCCTAGTTTAGGACCCTTCAACAGTACGCACCCACTCCTACTGGGTTCGAACCTAGGACCTTCTCGTTACAAGGCGAGCTAGATCGTAGACCATTAAGCCGCTGGGACCCGATCCAATGCCCCATGAATTCTAACTTCTACAAAGTGGTCGCCTTATGTCATGAATTGGTAGAAGTTAGAATTCATGGGCTAGACATTGTATGGGGTCCCAGTGGTTTAATTGTTTACGAGCTATCTCTCCTTGTCGCAAACTAGGCTGACGAAACAGCTGGTTGTCCAGTACTCCCTGCAAGTTATCCAGTGGTTCTCTAACTGATGTCAGCTCATGATGAAAACTTAATCAGTTAGTGAATGATTGAGCGACTAGATTAAGATCAACCGATAAAAAAGAACGAAGATTATCGTAAATCTTTTCACCAACCAACATGAAAACTCCACATTATTTATTATCTATCGTAAAGTCAGGTAACAAACTTGAATGGAACATATTGTACACATAATTACGTAGTTTCATAAAATGTCTGATCGCTTCTCATCAAAACAGAATATGAAAAGTAAATATTGTCTTGATCTTCGCACGTCTCTTTTTGTTGTTCATAGTTCAATTAGAAAAAATAAATAAATAAACAAACAGAATAAATGCTGACGTATAAAAACTGTTGAAATATATAATATACTGAATATAAATAAATAAGTCAATATAAACAGTCTGACGATAAAACACAGAAATGCGGGCTGTGGTTTTACTATAGCGATATTATGTTATCTATTACCATAGTATTAAATTCTATAAGAGTCAATAAAACAGGAATATTTAAACAAATGGAGTAAAGTAAAATGAAATGTTTAAAAATTATCCTGATTTTACATCTCCAGTAGTTATTATTATTATTATTCCCTTGGGTACCGAGTGGAAGATAGGCGGTCAACAGCATACCTCCATTTCATCCTGTTCTGTCCAGCTGCCTACATGATTGATTGCCCATAATGTCTCTCTCATCTCCACAGATATCCTCCTCCATGTTACATTCGGCTGCCCAACTCATCGTTTTCCATTCCGGTTTTACTCATATGCCATGGCGTGTGATATCACTTAAGGGTCTCCTCAGCTTGTATCCGACTGATCTCCATATTTGCTGACCAATAAGGTTCTTAAGTATTCCGTATCCTGTTTGCCTATCTGATATTCAACAATCAAGCAAATGAAGACAGGTATTGATAAAAGTCTGAAGAAGGCTGTTGGAAATGCTTTCGATGACCCGCCAAGTCTCTGAAGCATATAGAAGCACTGTGATTTGACATTATCGTTCGAATTCGGAATCTATAACTCTACTCTGGGTGAAACAGATTTCCACACCGATTTCAGATAAATGCTCTGCCTCGCCTTACCGATTCTAGCTTTGATATCTTCATCAGTTCTGTCTGTAGTTGAAATGACGCTGCCCTGTTAAGTGGAAGGAGTAGCCTCCTTCAGATTTTTCCCCTTGGTAGTGATTGTTGTTCGTTGCTGATGGTCGCTCATATTCATCAACTCTGTCTTCTCTGTGTTCACTTGAAATCCTTTCTTCCCTCCTTCATCTATCAACTTTTCGGTTCTCACCTGTGGATCCTTAAGTTCGTGTATCATGGGACATAAACCATCCGAAAAGTCCAGATCTTCTAGAGCCTTCATATCAGCCCATTTTATTCCTGTCCTGTCACTCCCCACAGTTTGCTTTGTGGTCTACTTCACCACAATCAGGAATATCATCAGTGATAATGTAAAGCATCCGTGACTCATTCCTGTCTTCGCTCCGAATCCTTCTTCGCTGAGTTTTCCGTTCTAGATCACTTGACACGTAGAATTGTCATTTAGCTGTTGAATGCGATTGATAAGGCACCGCACTGCATAGTGTAGACGAAGCAGTTTCCAAATTACCTCACCGTCAACGCTGTCGAAGGCGTCTTGGAAGTGGATGAAGTTGAGATAGAGATTTGATTGACTGGCATTCTATGTTGTGTTCGATTGTGATGTGTGACGTTGCAATTTTAATCGCATATGATTTGCTTTCCCTGAATTGATTTTGTTCTGGAGTTCCGTGGTGGGGGCGGAGTTGTTTTGTATAGAAGCATGTCTTAGTCTTTTCAGGGTGATATGACTGGATATTTTGCTTGAAGTGGACGGGAGTATGATTGGTGCGAGTCTTCATGAAGACGTATGTCTACCTTCCTTGGTAGTTTGAAAAGGTAGCCTTTACTTCCTGTCACTATAAATTTTTCCTTACTGCCTGCTGCCTTCTCCGCATTCATTAGCTTGGCTGGATACCACGTGTTCGCAGACAATCATTCGTTGTTTTGCCTCTTCTTTCGTCTTAAAACAGCTGTATACATTTCCCTAAACATTACATTCAGAGAGTTCCAATGTTATTTTACGCAGGTTTCCTCAATGATGTGATTTAGTGTCTCTGACTTAGCCCTAATAGATGCAGTGAAGGTATCTTTTGTAGTTTATTTCTTTAGTGGTGAACGTGAATCGTGGTTTATCTCCAGCTATTCTGAAGGCTATTAGGGCAAAGTTCAACAATAGCGTCCCATGAGTGCGAACGCTCCAATGACCTGCAGTCGACCAATCATAAAAATGAGGATATTTTGCACAAAAAATGGAGGTTCCTTGAACTAGTTGATGGTTTGAGCCCACATCTGCTCCCCTTCTCGGATTTGTATCTAGAAGACTTCGCCTCCACTTTCTTGAGATTGGAGTGTCGCTTTGTATATATCTTTGTGATTGTACACGCTGCCTCCATTCACCAGATCGCTGAGTGCACGGGAGTCTGAGAAGAGTAGTTTGCTCCCGTTTCACTAATCATATCAGTAGTGTCTGCTACCAAAATAGAAGTAATCAAAAAGCCAGACAGTCGCTGTGCCTGTTTGGGGTTGAGCACATCAGTAATATAAATGACGAATTTGATTCTATGTGTGGCCAGTTTACCCAAGTAGCGAGTCAGAATCCAAATGGTTTGAAATGGTTCGGCTCTCTGATCTGAGCCGAAATCGGTTACAGTGTTGATGCAGCCGGCCTCAAAAAAGTGAAATGACCATCCGGTGTTCAGATCACTTCAGTCTAGCTAGCAAAAATTACAGTGGTTCCCGACTACTCATTTCTATCAATCAGTAGTATATTACGTCATCCAAAAATACATATTGATGGAGATTGGACTTTATCACACCACTCAAATTATATTTAATTGTAGAAACTTTTAACATATTTTTTTAATGTATGCTAATAATTCACCCGTTTAATGAACATATTTCATACTGTTTAGTGTCTGATGGTCGCAGGGCAAATGCTATCAAGTAAACGAGATGTTCATTTCACAGATGATGACTACACAACGGCGGCTATGATTTATTTCTTATTAATATTGCAAGCAGTGACGTCAACAGTTGGACCGTTTGAAACAGATAAAACAAAATCAAATGAAACAAGTTTATTAAGTTCATTATCATTGTTTGAGACTACAGACTAGGTAGAAGATAGTCTGTCAGTCAGAATTTAAATTATACAAATATTGATTTCCTATATGTGTTAATCAGAAAGTCATCCAATCAGATTTCACCATGATGTTTGCTGCCCACCAATCGGCCCAATACTGTAACCTATAATTAGTTTATGATACTTTTTTGTATGACGATTGTAATGATATCTTTGTTATTACACAGTACCTCTGTCTGTCTCGCACGCTCGTTTTGAAAATACACATTTCCAATATTAATGTGTAATTATATACATTCCACGAGTAAGTCTTCTTAATATTATTAGTTGAGATCAGTGAAAATCTACTACGAAATTATCAAGTGTTCATCATGCTTAACTTTATTCATGTGGAAATTCAGCAACGTAACAATTATACACGGCATTATTATACACAATCTACAACTCAGAAATTTTCTATGACTAGCGTACGGGGATACTTAAAGATGAGCTTTATTTAAACTGTTTATCGAATTTCCTATTTTGAATCGCAATCAAGAATGTAAAGAATACAATTTCTGCGGAAGGATAACAATTTTAAGACATGCAAATATAAGGTGAACAATATCCTACCAGATCGACGTTTCATATTAGATAAGTTTATCTGATATAACACACAGTGAGTGATGCAGTATTGTAACGACAGAAGGGCCAGGCAACAGATTGTTTATTGAGTAAATCAAAAGGTTTTTATAGATTTTTAAGTGTATTATTATTAGCGGAGAAGCAACCTCCTCTGATTGGTTGTTTTCTTGCTGAAGGTTATCCTGAACTGTTTGTGACCGTTTCTCAGAAAGTTAAGCCATGTATCTGCGAATCGTATTTGCACAAGTTAAGTTCGCTTTAGAAAGTAATACAGTTACCTGGAGAGGCAGAAATTGATCACTAAGTTTCTAGTAATAGAATCAACAGCGAACATCTGTAATCAAAGAGACACAACGCCTATAGCAGATCCATAGATAATTATGATAAACAACCACTGGAAGACGAACAAGACATATACGCGAACAATGTTGTTTTCAATTAGATCTTTTTCAGGCTTCACTCTAATTTACATAGACATATAAATAAAAAATTTTAACCAATGACGGTGAGACACGTGAACACCAGGTATAATAAAAAAGAAACTGACAACAGTCAAAAAGAAACAATTGTTCATAAAATTGCACTTTAATGGGAACGTGGCTAGCGAAGTCTATAAGAAGTCTTATTTTGTCTCATTTGATTGATGGCGGTCACCAAGTGGACAGAAGAAGTGCTTTCAAAGTTATCTATCGCATTCCATCGAACCTTTCAAATGGAATTGGAACGGGCCTTTTACATATAGCCAAAGCTATGGAAATTTGAGAGAACAATCCCAGTCTTTGTATACAAAAGAAGTTTGTTCTACCTTTGTCTCTCTCTCTCGGCCTAGGTGAATTCTATTCAAAACCCACGCACCCTTTCTTATTTTCTGTTTCCTTCGTATTTTTATTATATTTGTTTAAACTCTGACTATCTGTCCACTTCACCTTTAGTATTACGTAACTTTTAGGATCTGACCTAATTTATGTATTGCATGGTCTACATATACACATATTACTACATTCGCTATTCTTATCGCCACCTGAATTAGCCTTATTACCATTATTTTCGTTATCATCACAATCATCGTTATTCCTGACGTTCAAAACACTGAACACTTATTATTATTCGATCCACAAACTGAACGTCATTGGTTAAATTCTTTTTCATATATACAAATATATGTAAATTAGAGTGAAGCATGAAGAAGATCTAATTGAAAACAATATTGGTTACCGGGTTTCATCATGAGCTGACATCGGTTAGAAAACCATTGGAAAACATGCAGCGAGTATTGGACAGCCAGCTGTTTCGTCATAGTTTGGGACTCTTCATCAGTACACACTCATTTCCCAGGATTCCAACCTAGGACCTTCTGGTTACAAGGCGAGCTAGCTCGTAGACCATTAAGCCACTGGTACCCAATCCAATGAAGAACCCCAAACTAGGACGAAACAGCTGTCCAGTACTCCATGAAGGTTTTCCAATGGTTCTCTAAATGATGTCAGCTCATGATGAAATCCTCCAACCAATCAAACAAAATCCCTACAAAACCAATACTTGAAAATTGATCTGATGCTCACTAGCGACTGGCTCTATTCAGGCAGTTAACCTGGGGTTCTAGTAGGAAGCCATGACCAGTTAGGTGCAGCAGGTTGGAGGCGAGGCAGTAACCTACTGAAGAAGTCATTGCGAAGTGGTCGAGCAATACCATGAATTTGCAGAAGTTGGGATTCATGGGCTGGCCATTAGATCAGGTCTCAGTGGCTTAGTGGTCTACGGGCTAGCTCGCCTTGTAACCAGAAGGTCTTGAGTTCGTAGTGCTGAAGAGTCCCAGACCAGGCTGACGAAACGGCTGGCTGGTTTTCCAATGATTCTCTAACCGTTTTCACCTCATGATGAAATCCTGTGACCAATTTTATTTTGGTTCCCACCCAATTAATGCTTTCTACATTACGTAATTTTCATTTAAAATTTACAATTGTAATGACAGATCTTCGGAAATATTCATTTTGTTGCTAAGAAAATTAACTATATACATGTATATATATGCAATTTTAAAGCTTGAGAATGATATTGCCGAAAAGAGGAGTAACCCATCACTGAACGCCTTTTCTTTTGTCTTTGGATTCAATAACACAATGAAAAAAATAACTAAGAATGTTTTCGATTGGACACTAGTCAGTAGCTAGTGTAATGTGTGTGTCTAGTCCTATCTTCGGTGCAGACTGAATTCTATCAATGAGACAAGCTTGCAATGTGGCCACCACCATGCCAGCAGGCGGCTCTCCATAACGGTGCACCGTCAACTGTTGGTATTAGCTCAGTGGTAACGTCTCTGACTGCAATACTCACCGGGTGACGCGGATTCGAATGAATCTCAGATGGGACATAAATTCCTTCAAGGAGGTTGCAGAGGTACGCCTTGCTGACTGACTGATGAGTGCCAACTAGCACGAAACCAAGGTCTAGTCGAAGGCTTCTTGTGGCTGATTACCTCTAACCAACAATAGAGAATGTTTACAGGATTTCATCATGAGCTGACATTAGTTAGAGAACCATTGGAAAACCTCGGAGTACTGGACAGCTGTTTCGTTCTAGTTTGGGACTCTTCATCAGCACGCACCCACCGTAAAAGTTCAAACCCAGGACCTTCAGGTTACAAGGCGAGCTAACTCGTAGACCATTAGGCCACTGGGACCCAATCCAATGACCAACCAATGAATTCTAACTTCTGCCAACTCACGACATAGCGCGACCCCTAGCCAATGTCTTCGGCGAGTATTTGTCCTCCCACCCGTCTTGCTGCACCCTACCGGTCACGACTTCTCACTAGAACACCAGGCAACTACCTACGTGAATAGGGCAAGTCGTTAGTGAGCATCTCATCGATAATTAAGTGTTGGTTTGTAGGGATTTGATTGGTTACAGGATTTTATCATGAGCTGACATTGGTTAGAGAACCATTGGAAAACCTGGGAGTACTGGACAGCTGTGTTGTCCTAGTTTGGGAGTCCCAATGTTTCTCTAACCAATGTCAGCTCATGATGAAATCCTGTAACCAATCAAATCCCTACAAACCAACACGTAAATAGAGAATGTTATTGATATGCTGTCATACTGTCAAATGAACACACAAGTAAAATTAAGATTTTTTTTTTAAAAAACACAAATAATCATCAATAATGTACATTTATTAGAAATCACACACACACGTAATGTATATATAAAGTTATTGAAAGAAATATAATAATAATAAGATGGAGAGAATAAGAAAATCATTTTCGATAAAATTTCAACCACCAATTGTGTATACTATCACTGGTTGTACACAATACTTCTAAACCTCTTTGATCTTCATTATTTAAACCAAAAAACATACTAGGCAAGCGTTTGACATCTCGTTCACGTTTTATAGCAGCTGAATATGTGGATATACAATTTAAAATGGTTAAATCACTTCGGCCTAATAATGCCATATCTTCTTCAGGCAGGGAATCAGTTTTCCAGACAACTTTTTCTACCTATTGATTGATTGATTGTTGTTGTCGTTTTGAATTCAAATTGTTAAAAGATAAGAAGAAGAAAGTGTTAATCATGTGGGTATTTAAAATACTGATAGAATAATACAATTATTATTATGAATAAACAATAATTATAATCATTACTATTCCCTTGGGTACCGAGTGAAACATAGGGCTTAAACAATACATCTCCACTTTGTTCTATTCTCTGCCATCCCATTCAGCTTGATCCAAGATTCCCCAAAATCTCTCATCTCCTCCTCGCCACACAATCTCTTCCATGTCAACCTTACACTGACCACCCACCCTTCGCTTTCCATTGGGATTCCACTCGAGAACCTGACGCGCGATGTCATTCGACAGCCTCCTCAATGCCCGATCCATCTCCATTTTCTCCAGCAAATTTGTTGAACAATCAGATCTTGGTTGATTTGTTCCCAGACAGAGTTTATTGTTGCTAATTCTTTCTGGCCGGCCGGCCGGTCATTCGATCTTCAGTATGCAGTCAGCGAGCGGAGGAGGCAGCTGTTGATAATCCTTTTCGCCTCACGCTGTGCAAGTTTGTAACCCGCATAGAAAAAATGACTGACTCGACATTGGTGTTGAAAACCCGAATCTTGTTGTTGACGCTGGCTGAGTGCAGTGCAGAAGATTTCTAAACTGGTTTCAGATTGACGAAGGCGTACCTTACCTTTCCGATTCTGGCTAGCTGGCATTGACATATTCATCTGTTCCGACTGCGTGTGGTTGAAATCATGCTTCCTAGATAAGTGAAGGAAGTAACCTCTGTTAAATCTCTCCTGCTGATGTTGATTGGTGCTGGTTGCTGTTGTTGTTGAGGTTCGTTGGTTATCTTCATCACCTCCGTCTTCTCCAAGTTCACCTGCCTGCCGGGCTCTTCAGCCAGTTTGTTGGTTTTCGCCTTACTGCAAATTTCCGAGTTCGTGACACTAGACATATATCATTTGCGAAATACAGATCTTCTAGAGTCTTCTTATCGGTAGTCCAGCGTATTCTTGCCTCCTTTTTCCCCATATACAGTCTGAATCATAATACAGTTCACCACAATTAAGAATATCATCGTAGGTGATAACAGGTAGGTAGCCAGCTTGTCTTACTCCCGTCGTCTTCG